ACACTTGCGGTGAAATTCGGCACAGCAGTCCGCCGTTCGTCATCCATGTCCCATTCGCGGTCGTCGGAGGTCCATTGGTCCCAGTAGTCCTCTGCCTCCCGACCCAATAGCCATCGAGAGAGTGACTTGGATTCTTGTATAGCTTCCTGATAACGTCCTGTCGAAGCAAAAAGTTCCATGTAAATCCCGATATCATGCCATGGAGGTTCTATAATCTGCATCTGTGGCTTCGCCCTTTCATGATCAAAGAATCGTTTATAGGCTGCGATTGCGCTCGGGACAGCGGCCTCGGCTTGTTTATTGTCAACACAAGCCTCAGCAAGTTTTCTGACGATTTCAAGGTCGTGGGGTCGATGCTCTAAAACAACTTTGTAGTCGGAGATGGCGGCTGCAAGATGGCCCTGTCTGTGACAAACTAGACCTTTGCCCAAGCGAGCATCAATGTTCGTGTGATCGGCCCGCAGCGCCGCAGAATAACAAAGTCTCGCAGTGTTGAGATTTCCGGCTTCGTCATCTGCAATGTTATCAAGTGCGAATGATGCGCACTGGAGCCAGCCGTTCACATCCTTTGGGCGGAGATGAGCAGCATAGACCATCGCTGATAACGATTTGCCCATGTCACCTTGCTCGCGGAAAATCGATGATAGAGTCGTCCATGCTTGGTGCGTTTCAGCATTGATTCTGATGACTTCGAAAACAAGATCCAGTGCTAATGGATAGTCGCCGCTCAGAAAAGCTTGGTTTACTTTTGATAGTCGTGCTGTGATGTCTCCTCGAGGTTTTGCTGCTTTCCGTGGACCTCGTGCTCCTTTACCTCGCGGGAGGCCGCGGGCCGCGGGCGAGGCATCATTCTCACCCCGTTGATCTGCCAAAAAAGTTCGAACAGTCTCGTCTAACTTTGCGATATCTCCCTCCAGCTCCTCCAAGTCAGAGTCTGCATCTGAGGCGTTGTCTTGTTGCCTGCTTTCAATCAGTATATTTATGTCTCCAACGAGAACTGATACTGACCTTTCCATCGTCTTTTCTTCTGGATCTGAAGTATATTATTAAGATATGGACATTATCTGGTTGGACAAGGTGTATCCGGTGTTAATAACTTAGAAAGAAGAGGTCGCCGTATGGACAAAGATGGGATGGCTATGGCGCCTTCCCAAGTGTGGCTGAATAAATCAGCACGTGATAGAAACAGGCACGTGCCACAGGCTCCACAATCAAACAAATAGGTAACTTCAAGGTGAGAGAAGGGTCTTCAATGTATACCTTAATAAGATCATGTACTTAGGTCATCGATTAAAAAAAAAAAAAAGGCAGAAATGCAAGCTAGCTGCTGACCAAAAGAGTCATATAGAGCACAAATCATTCTCACGGAGCCATCTGGACAAGGAAGGATGAGGTGAATGAACCTTGGATGTGAAAATAAGGCAAGACGTTACTATCAACAACATGATCTCGTGGAAACTCATAAGTTTTCGCACTCGAACTATTAAGTTTGATCTTCAGCGACCTTCCACCTAAATTTAAAATACTAAATCGAGTCTGTAACAGGACTGTAACCCATGTCCAACACAATGTGTGCAAAGTTGAACCACCTAACATCCATTTTCGCAGGTCTATATATGGGCATGCCCGGTTGTGGTGATTCTAGCCCAGCTTTCCATCGGCCTTGGCTTCTGCGACATCATCAGTACATTAGTCTCAAACAACTCTGCCTTGAGATTACTTACCCTTGACCTGTTCAAAAACCTTGAGCATCTTTCGACGTGCACCGAGGGCGTTGACGCCACGCTCTTCCAGGGCCTTGTCGTCCAACTCGATGAGGTCCGTCCACTTCATATCCTTGAGATTATCGGTGTACTTGTGAAGGCGAAGACTGCGGAGCCAACTGGGGATGTCCTGCAGAAGGGTTGGGTCGGTCGGGTCCTCGGGAGGCTTGGAGCTGCCTCGTCTCCCACGAGGAGATCGGCCACGAACCATGTCCGAATGATCAGATAAGTAGCCCTCGTGGCCAGGCATCCCAAGGCCACCCAAGTTGACCGGTTGCATACCGCCTGTAATCAATGGCGAGGACACATCGTACGCACTAAGGAATCCATTGTTCTGCGGTGAAGTGAACGGTGCCATATGAGGCAGTCCAGGTTGCATGGCAATTCCAGGGGAGCTGGGACGAGAGCGCTGACCACCCAAACCAAGGTTTTGCTGCGCCTGAAGCGCCATGAGTTGTTCTCTACTGAGGACCTGGCCATGTTCATTGATCATGACAACATTCGTGTTTGGGAGGTTGATTCCGGGCTGTGGACCAACGGAGACAGGATTCTGTCCTGGCGTGCCGTCATTGGACCTAGTTCGGCGGTACTTGCGCACGTCGTCCAAAGCGAATCGGTTATTGACTGTAGACAAAGCTGCGAGTTTCATGGCAGTGGCGTTGGCAACCATATCGGCCTGGTTACCTCCGGTGTTGGCTGTGTTGAAGGTGCCAGTCATAGGGGTGTTTACCATTGACGCCCAGTTGCCGCTGCCAGCATTGTACGGTGAAAGCAAAGGCAAGTCCCCAGAGTTCTTATCCGGAGCAGTAAGAGTCGTTTGCTGGATCGTACTGTTGCTTGACAATTGCGGACGCGGAGAGCGAAGTCCACCAGATGGTGTCGGCTGTACAAACTGGCCCATAGGAGCCTGAGCAGAGGATGCCTTGCCGGAGTCTGCGTTCCCGCCACTATTCCAAGGCGAAGAACTAGCAGGTCCAGCATCACGGTTATCCTGGGGCGCGCTGATAGACGGAGCAGCCATGGAGGAACGATGATCCAAGGCGGCACTGTTGCGGTTCGAGGAGGGCGGGTTCCCAGTCTGCTGGGTGAACTTGGCCTTTTCTGTGGCTATGGCTGCCGCAGCATCGGGGAACATGGCGCTGATGGTGGAAGGGTCGAGTCCTGAATGTCGCTTGTTGGATGGGGCGATAACCGAGCTACGGGCCATGGAATTACGGGCAGAGTCGACATTGAGCTTGTTCATTGCATCGCTGAGACGGTTCGACATAGGATCTGGGAAAATGGTACGTTAAGAGGTGAATCAAATCTGGCATCGTCAACAAACGTACCTTTGTCGAAGCTGGCAGGGGACAAAACCCCTGACATGGGATGATTCTTTCCCATTTGCTGGAGCACCTGGATAAAAAAGCGAATCTGGACCTGAGTTGTCTGCTGCAAGAGGGCATACAAGGCGGCGGTGCGTTCAGCCTCGCTCAAGACACGAAACCATTGCTCAATGGCACTGAGCTCGTCCTTGAAGTCCTGGTCCAGAGTAGCAGCAGCCATCTCTTCCAGCGTCGTTTCGTACTGGTCAATGTCGGCAATCCACTGCTGGGCAATCTTGTCCTGGGAGTCCGATTCGGCGTTGTTGGGGCCAAGGTTCTGCTGAGCCTGCCCATAGAAATCGGATGAGGGTCGAATGCGGCTGGAGGGGGAAGGGCCAGTTAGGGACGCCATGTCGGCCGAGGCGCGAAGCGAATGACCAGAACCAACGGCTCGAGAAGACGGTGGCCGCAAGGTCGAGGTGCTATTGGCCTCGGGCGTGCTATTTCTGTTTCCGATAACGTGGTTTCCAGACATATTGAGCATTATCGAGGGTCGTTGTTTTCGAAAGGGTTAATGGTTGAGTAAATAGCGACGAGTGCAGAATGTGAGGGTGGCAAGCAAAGATGTTACAAGAATCGTCTCTCGACTCCTGCAGTGACCGGCTGACCTCAAAGGAGCTTAAGACTTGAAGCAAGGCAGGAAATTTAGAACATTATCTGCCAAACGACTAACAGTGCTGCGAGCACCAATGTCAGTAAGTAGCCCCTTTGTTGAAGAGATTTCCAAGCTGGTACGACAGTTTTGGAAAAAGAAGTAGAAATAGAAGGAGAAAGCAGAAGCAGCGCGGAGAGGGGGGGAGGCGTCATACCGAGTATAAACGACACCTAAGTAGGTACAGGTAGTCAAAGAAGGGACGAAGTCTGCTTCCAGGCAGGCCACAGAAATCCTGATTAAATCCCGCCGACGTATGAAGCAAAGGACCGGCGTCCTCTAGAGGTTGGCTCGTCAAGGACAGAGGGATGATCGGAAGCAGAAGAGAATGCCTTCGTGTTCCGACAACTTAGCACATAGCCTACTGCGAAGGCCTCAGCCCCTGGGCTTACCTAATCGGGGAGTGCGTGCCCGTCCGCCAAGGGCTCATGGGCCTATCGGTAACAGAAAAAGGCCATTAATCCTTGCCAACAAACATTGTTGCCTCAGGCGCTTTTCGGGTCTCGAAGCGGCAAAAACCTTTTGGTTATCAGTAGACTGTAGCCAGGATCGAACCGGAGGGTAGAGTCTCGAGGAAAGGTCTACCTTAGTTGGTCAAGTTGAAGATAACTCGTAGAACCAATCATATGTGAGTAACTACCTACATACCTATACTGATTACCAGTAGACAGCGGACAGTTGAGGCAATGAGTAAGTAGGACGCGATGATACTCTAGATCTATCACAGGGTTTTGAGACATGAATAGAAACACACTCTCTAGCAATGATCGAACGACAGGTTCAGCGACAAAGCATTTGAAACAGGGGACATGGTGCAGCTCAAAATTCAGGGTTAATGGCCACTACTAGCGAGTCACAAGAATAGGTAGTTAGGTCAGCGATTCGACTAACAATACATGGAACAAATTAGGGTCTGGACAGCATGTCACGGACAAATTCACTGCATATTGGACCTTGTAGTATGGAGTTCAGGTAGAAGTTTTTCCGTCTACTACCCCATGTCCCTGGAATGGAAACCAAGCAACATGCTTTACTCGAGGCCATCAAAACGTTGAACGCCGGGACGGGACCTGTCGACTGCCACCATCTTCTCCTCGGGCTGACCGCATGGTATGTATTTCCATCGTTTCATTTTGCGTGAGTTCTATCGTTTGTGTGCCGTAACCGAGCAATGCGAATGCTCCAAATTGACGCCTTCGTTTTCCCTTGCCGATAGGTATCTTAGACAGTCTCGCGCTTGCCCTCCTTAGCCTCCTTCTGTAGATCTTGTTAGCCAGTTGTTTTGGTGCGCAGGCAGATGTCGCTTCATTCGGTGGGGGCGTTTCGTACCAAGGCCTTCATGTTGCCGTGAAGAGCATGTCGATGGTTTCGTCGGAACTTGGGATCGGTACCCTTGAGAGAGGGGTAGCGAGAAGTCTTGGGCTTCTTGATACTGCGCAAGAGTCAGCGACAGTTGACAATGTTGGGAAATTCGATATAATTACCCGTTCCTGTGCGCCTTGCGCGACTGGTTGTGCTGGGAGCTGTTCTTTGACTCTGCGACAATGTCAGTGATCTATGAATCTGCCTTGAAGCGTTCTCTGAGGCAGCACGTACTCGCCATTGCTGCTGATTGATTCCCTGTGTCGACGGAGACGGATCACGAAGTTGCGAGGAGAAAGCTGGAATTGTGTGCGATTACAACCCTAGAGGAATCGATGTGGGGCATTTCTTGCTGACAGAGGGCAGGTTTGCACGTGCTGAGTGAGCTCCACCCTAGATCTGATGGAGCCAGCCCGACCTAGGGTAGGTAGGTAATTCCCGACTGCTCTGGGCCAAGTCGGATAGACTGGTGCTAACCACTAATATAGTATTGGATTTGTACAACAACCAGAAATGGATGTTGATTTCATTTATGGCGGGTTATGTTGAGAAGAAAACAGTAACACGCTAGCACGGTATACTTGCAGATGGTCATCTGCTGCTGACTCAAAATTTCTTTCATTCCGTTGGCTGTCTACTGTCTCTGCTCTGAGTCGACCCGGTGTCAACGAACTGATCACCAGTATCCAAGTCTTTGGGTTCAATGTTTAATGACCTGTATTGCTATATGCTACAATCCGGTATCACGCAGGTTGAAGGGTTTCCCATCATCAATGCGCGCTTATTACTATCGCAAAACATCCAAACATAAAAACACCAATCCGTTTCTATTCCCAAATGGCAGAATCTCAATATCCCAAACACCGATGCTGTTTCTAAGGATCAACCGTTCACTACCTATGCTGATGTGACGGGTTTGGCCGCAACGCTGTGTGCGGCGGCTGCGGCGGCTGTCTTCTCAGCTGACTTGCCGAGTTTCTGGAGGCGGATAGACTTGATATATCGGATCAAAAGCACGAACATGAGCTCAACCCTGCATAATAAAGTCAGTCGCTGCGAGTAGTCATCGTGTATCAAGGGGTGGATCCTACCTCTCCTTCGTGGTCATGAGGATGCCTTGGACGATCAGCCCCTTCAAGATCTGTGGTCCAATACCCTTGAAAAGACCCAGGACACCTTCGTGCTCAATGATGAACTTCATCACCTCGACAAAACTGGTGAAGGGCTTGCCATTTCGGGCCGGTGGAGGCTTGGACTGAAGACCAACTTTGGCCACGATAAGTGGTTGAGTAGCGATGGTTGCGAGCGCCTTGGACATGGCACCCAGTACTACCAACAGCAGTTAGCTCAAGCACGTGTACAGATAGACCATTCTTCTTGGAAACCTACAGAATGCTTCCGCTGGTCTCAAATTGGTCTTGCCAGGGAAGAGAACGTCCTTTAGTCGCTCGTATGCGCCATAAGTGATGGCAGGGTTGACGACAAGGACGAGACTGGCCTTCAGACCGCGCCAGAGACCTGACACACCATCTGGACCATCGATGACCTCACGAGCGGTGTCTATGAGACCTTTGCGGTCGCTTTTGCTTGCCGTCTGCTGGCGCGTGGTAACAACAGCAACAGGGATGGTAAAGACCTGGGCGATGGCTCCGGCGACAGCACCCAAAGCGAGTTCGACCACGGTGGACGGGTGCACGTCTGTCTTGCGAGACTTGAAATATAGGGTCCTGACAATGGTGTACCAGTAGAAGTAGGCAAAGTTGGTTGAGGCGACACCAATCAGAGAGCCATTCATGCCAGCATAGAGGCCCTTGATTCCATCATCGGCGACTATACGCGAAATGGCATCCCATGTCGAGGTGTAGTGTGGTTCGTCGGACGAGGTAGGGCCTTTTGAAGGATCGGGCTTGACTTGAACTTGAAGACGAGTCTTGACACTATTTCGAGAGTCAGTCTTGATGTACAGTATGGAGCAAACACCATGTCGAAATACACAACTTACATATCAAGGGGGTAGACCAGCGCGTTGGCAAGAACAGCACCCGTAGCTCCAGCGACAGCGCGGCCCCAGGGGGAGATCTCAGGCTTCGATTGCGCAGCCATTTTGGACGAGCTGTGAAGGGATAGGAGATCTTGTTGAGGAGCGGGACGGGGACGAGGAGGAAGAGAAGGAAGAGGAAGAGACACACAGCTCACACTAAAAATGTATATCCTATCGCGATGTTGTACTTCCTGGGCCGATCCATGATTATACGTAAGTAGGTACCTAAGACAAAGATTAAACGGTCCGCCACCGGTTCGGGGCCGAGGTTCGAGTCTACCGGTCTCGGCAGATTTGGTGGGCCCCCGCCTGTGATTTGACCCGCGGGATGGAACCTCGGTTAGTGAGCCTCCTCCCTGGAGATTTCCGGGGACTTAGGCTTGTGCCTCCCTACTAACTGACTCACTAACAGTTGGGTAGGTAGGCTGGGGGAGGAAAAGCTCAAAACCCTGACACTAAGCGATAAAAATGCTTAGGTAAATCTAGCCTAAACTCAGGGACTACTTGCTCAGTCTATTTTGACACCCTGTATTCAGGTCCGGTGTTTTCTTGCTCCCTGAAGGTAGGTAGGGTAAGGTAGCGAGCGTATCCGTACTCAGGTAGTGAGTGATATCATGGATGGTCAAGGCAAATGACGTTGATATCGAGATGAGATGTTGCAGATGAAGTGAGGTGATATGTAAGTTTAATTTGAAGCGCCGACGTCAAAGGTAACGTCTGTTGCACAAACCTTGCTCACAATCCGAGATAAGGTACCCTAACAACGTCGTAGATGAAGAATGCTTACTGTAAATAGGTACCTACCCAAGTACCTACCGTAGGTAGTCTGTCTGTTTGGAAAGTGTGAACTAAGGTATATGAGATGAGAGAACATTGCACCAGATGACGTACAAAAAGTAAGTATCTAGAGACATTGAGCACAATTACTTATCCGTTCTCTGTAGCAGTTCTTTTTCCAAATCTTTCCTACTGATCACAGTGACACTTCTGGTGTTGCATCCCCATGTCAACGACATGTCGATGCAGAGCTCTTTTGAGTGGAGAACACACTGGGCGCAGCAAAGCAAACAGCAGCAGCCCCCACCGCGGGGTTCGCAGCTCTGAAGTGTTAGGTTATCTCGAGTCATTCATTCATTGTCAACGTCAATCCGTCAAGCCTGGCAATGGTTGAGGCCATGCTTCAGTAAAACGGAAATGGAGAAGAGAGCTCAGGTCAGTGTATCTCAAGACGCGTGCCCTTCCTTTCTTCTCTGCCTCAGGACCATATCGGCGATGCTCGATGTGTATTACATCATGGCCCATTATAGCTTCATCTGTCAACTAACCCTACATCCATATCACAGGCCACTGAGTCTCTCATCCGAACATCGAGTGGCCAGGCGGCCCTCGATTATGCTGTCCAGGCTGCAGAGCTGTACATGCGAGCTGCTGGAGAGGCTTCGACCAAAAAAGATGCCGCTCGTTTGAGATTGAAATGTCAACAACTCATTGCTCAGGCAGAGAAGCTCAAGGCTGAGCTCATCCAGACGCCCGGTGTCCTGTTAAGAACCTCAAAACTTCACTCTAATCTCTTCCCCCCATGGACGAAAGAACCCTCGGACGAAGAGTTCCAGCTTCTCCCTGGCGATGAGCCTTTCACGTAAACGGAAACCCTGCCTGGTACAGTCTGTTGTAGCTCTTGGCTGAGTTTGATATAGCGATAACGCAATCTTCACACTGTCACCGAGGCAGACTGCCACATTTGGTGGATGGAAGCGTCCAAGAGACCTACACGACCATGTCGAAGCAGACGACGACATTTTCATGAACTCAAGTAGCGGTTGCGACCTGGTTCAAGATATGACCACTGATTGCTCTGTAGTAGCCAGTCTATGTGCCGCTATGAATATCTTGACTGGTCGAAAGTCGGTAAGGCGTATCGAGATGAGCTGCCAACGAGCGTCCACTGACAGCCTACAACAGATTCTCTCGTCCATCTTGCATCCATTTGACAGAGCGAAGGGAACACCCAAAGAATCTGCTTCTGGCAAATATGTCTTGAAACTATACTTCAATGGGTGCTTCCGCCGGGTTGTGGTCGATGAGCGGCTTCCGTCTTCCATCAGTGACCGAACTCTCTACGTTGTTGATCGAGTCAACCCCCAACTGATATGGCCTGCACTTCTAGAAAAGGCATATCTCAAAGTCAGAGGAGGCTATGACTTTCCGGGTAGTAACTCAGGCACAGATTTGTGGGTTCTTACTGGATGGATCCCGGAACAGATCTTTCTTCAGAGGTGAGCACATTTTGTTATCCCTCTTCACGCACACTGCCTCCATTTCACAACGTGGGCTCACCTGTCAATTACTTGTACAGAGAAGATTTAGAAGTTGATAAGCTCTGGAGACGAATCAAGAATGCACACGACTCTGAGAACGTGGTGGTCACATTGGGTACTGGTCGAATCTCTGCCGAAGAAGAGGATATCTTGGGTCTTATTGGAGAGCACGACTATGCCATCATGGATCTTGAAATGGTTGGTGATAGCCGGAGGCTTTTGGTCAAGAACCCTTGGTGTGACGGACCGGTTTGGAAGGGAGGCATTCCTCAGGCATTTGATGGCGAATTGCCAACCCCATATGCCACCAGCCCTCAACACAAGTGCCCCCCTTCAGTCGCTGGCTCTTTCTGGATGACCCTAGAAGATGTCCTCCAACACTTCGAGTCCATGTACCTGAACTGGAACCCTGCTCTATTTCCCCATCGCCAGGATCATCACTTCACCTGGTGTATGCCTCCCCCTGAGTTGTCTTCATCGCTGGTTCGCAACCCACAGTACTCACTCCACTCGCCAGCTGGGGGGCCAGTGTGGATTCTCGTGAGTAGACATTTCGTGGACGAAGAATTGGAAATTGCTCGAAACAGGACCGACTCAATGGCAGCTGCCTCTGGACAACTCGGTTACATGAGCATTCTTGTCTTCGAAAACGACGGCCACAGGGTGCAAGTAAGCGACGGCGATGTCTATCGCGGACCTTATGTCGACTCTCCGCAGACTCTCGCTCGTTTCGACACGAGTCCAGGGAGACGATATACCGTCGTTGTCGACCAGCACGAGTTCCCGCTACCAGACTACACCCTCACACTTTCATTCCTCTCCCAAGATCAGCTTGCAGTCAAAGAAGCTGAGGACGCAATGACTTGCACAAGAGAGGTCGCT